GATTCCTAAATATTTCACTTTCTTGGATGTTATTGTGAAATGTATTGTTTCCCTAATTTTTCTCTCAGTCTGTTTGTTGTTTGTATAGGAATGCTATTAATTTTTGGGTGCTGACTGTGTATCTGGCATAGTACAGTGGGTTGAAGATAGCCATGCAGTGATCATAGGACATGGCAGACAGGGGAAGGCACTCGCTCTCTAGCAGGGTGAGGGACAGGAAGATCTGGAATCCATAGTCTGCAAAGGAGATCGTTCTGGTGCCAGACAGGAAGTTGGAGATCATTTGGGGTACGATGTTGGAAATGTGCAAGATATCCATGAAGGAGAGATGGCTGAGCAGGAAGTACATCGGGGAGTGGAGTCGGGTGTTGCTGCGGATGAGGAGGATGAGGAGGGCGTTTTCTGTGACAGTCAGGATAAGAATGATGAATAGAGAGGAGAAGAAGACCAGGCTGGCTCGGGAGGAAGAGAACAGACCCAAAAGAATGAATTCACTGCTGGGCGTCTGATTCACATGGCTCATCCTGAATTTCTGTGTTTTATATAAAAGTACAACATAAAGGAGAAAAAAATAGATAAGTGGAGAACTTGTTTACATAGATCTATGTAACAAAATGTGAACTAGTACGATGGGTGTTTGTTCGTTTCAGTGACCTTGTGTGATTCAGCACAATGAATGCATCCTTGGTTCCGAGTTGATTCTCTAAGTCCTAATTAATTCTGTCATTCTACTCAGATAACATCATTCTCCGATGTGGCCTGTGGCATACCCTCTATGCCCACCTTTTAAATTCTTGAACCCCAATTCTCCTGATCCTGCTTACGCTGCTCCATTTCACATTCTGTCTATCCCTTCTCACCTTCTGGTATTTTAAAATATACACATGAGTTGCATATATTCTTCTCTGTCATTCTCTCCACCAGAAGTTTTACCTCATTGTCGGATATCTTTGATCTATTCACTGGTGAAACTTCTCTCCTGCACGCATCTCCATCACAGCCTCCTCCACAGCACCTTTCACTCCTGACCCTCAGTACCTAAGGCTCATTTTATGTTGAGGGATGTTTCACAGCCAGTATTTCTCCAGGTATTTACTCCAGGGCAGGACTGGGTGGAGCTCCTTTGGGAGCAGCCTCAAGAGACTTGAGGGTGCCATGATGTCAAGAAGAACCCACTCGTCCTGTAGACCACCTGCGACAGAGGACGGACTTTATCACACTGATTGAGCTTAAATGCATGCTGATTGACTCTTATGTCAATTAAAGAATCACTAAATTAACTGAGTCTTTAATGAAAGCATCAAAATCATTTAGCTGATTTATTCATAATAATGTGTCCCAGTTAAACATTATGCAGCATATTTAAATGTCAGGCAGGATTTTCAACATCTTCCCTCCACCAGGATCTTACAGTTTTCATTTACTGAGCTCTGGATCTATGACACTGACCCCCAGAGAGGAGGCCACTTTCCCCAGGGCAAGCACTTAGCTCTAGCCTGAGTCCAGAGGTCCTGGGTCAGAGTCACATCCCAGTGTCACACACCACGTCCCCACAGCTCTGTCTCCTCCATTCAGTGCAGGAGCTCCATCGGGTTGTTTCTTGGTCTTCAGGAGGGAGGAAGGAAGCTGGGTCTCACTGCTGTGTGACTTTTGACAGGGTTCGGCCTTAGTCTCTCAAAGCGCCTGGTTCCTACATGTAGAATATTTTAAATCGGATTCCTGGACCACGTCAATGGAAAGCAAGCAATGAATGTTTTCTAAAAGAACTTTTCTCCATTTCTCAAAATGAGTGTTAACACTGGACACAGCTCACAAGGATGAGTAATGAATTAAGAAGGATAATATACATAAAACAAGAAGCTAAATCCAGCCCCAAAGGAATGGAAGATACTTAATGTCAACACTTTTATCTTGTTATGTCAAATAAGGGAATGATTTTATGTTATTAATGTGATGATGTTACTTAATTTGTTATTGAAACAGGTCAGGAATTACACTACTTTTGCTCAGTCAGAGTCAATGTGTGTTGAGGACACCATGGAAGCCAAGCACTCACCAAGTCCCATGCAGTCAGTCTGCCTGTGTTCCCTTGAGCAGACCAGACTGACAGCACGGAGGTCGGCTGGTTGCCCAGGAGTCTCTGCAGGCGGCATTCAGGTCCTCACAGTCTCCTCCTCTACCTTTCTTCCAGTGCCCCTCTTGCTTTCCCAAAATAACTGCAGTGCCACAGAGCTGTCTCTCTTCTGAGCTTCCTGACAGTGTCTTCTCCCGACCCTTCTACTTCTTCTGTCACAGGAGAGTGGGAACCACTCCCACCAAGCACTGCACAGTGAAGGGAGACCTTGGGAAACCAGGGACCCCAGGAATCTGCAAACGTAGCTGAAGTAAATGAATGAAATGATTCATCTCCAAATATGTTATTTTAAAGGACTTAGGCATGATTTATTATTCATTTGCTTTGTCTTTAGAATGGTAAGAAAAGCATGAAAGATATAAAAAGAATGTACAATCATAATTGTTTCCCTTGTTCAACCAAAATTCTCTTAGAAGTACCAAGTTTATTGCTTAAAAATTATTTCATTTGTTCAACAATTTGCTAACAAAGGGCTGGGGATTAAGCTCAGCGGCAAAGCGCCTGTCTGGCAAGAGCAAGGTCGTGAGTTCGGTTCCCGGTACCAGAGAAAAACCAAAAAAAAAAAATTTGCTAACAAAATATAAGAAATGTTACCTTAACATCTGAGCCACTATTTTTTTTCTTAGAAATCATTTTATATTTCAGCAGAAACTGTAACTCAAATGAAAAGCTTTCAAGTATTCAGGGGCATCATTTCCCAGTACAATAAGATCATGTTGTTATAAGCCATAGCTAAAATGAAGACACCGATAGTCTCCAGCTAAAAGGAGAAGTTAGGAGAGATAAATTACACATATCCTCACTTTAGTTAAGATAACTAAACTTAAATCAGTTAGTGAAAACAAATATATCAGGACATATAATGATGCAAAGTAAACAAATATATACCTTGACTTGTAAAATTTTTAAATATTTTTAAAATCAGATACTTCCTATTATTGAGTCAATAGTTGTGTTTGCTTTTGAAGAATCTATAGATTTTGTTCTCAAGAATCAAAACACCTCACAGAAGAACACATACAAATATTTAGTGAGTAATTCTTAAGTCTTTATTGCATTCACTCATTGGGAAAATTCAAATTGAAAACAGCATTAGTTACTAGAAACTCATTAAAATTGGGTAATATGAAGAGTTAGTTAATGTTCAGAGCAACTGGAATTTGTGCCCATACCTGGCAAGAGTCAAAAAATTTGACAAACACTTTCAAAATAGTTTACAAAAGCTTCATAATATATGCACCAAAAGAGATAGATGCATCACGTAAAGCAGATTTAGAGGAGCATTAGTCATCACAGCTCCAAACCAAAGGCAGCACAGTGTCCTTCAACAAAATAATGGGGCAATGAACAGTAATGCAGCACACTAATACAGGAAATACTGCAAAACAGCGGAGGAGTGCAAGCTGTTGAAAAGTGTGCAAATGTGGAGTGTATCATACAACTTACAATGCTTACAGAAGCAAAGTCAAATGCAAGAACCATCTCCCACTGGAGTTCACCGATAAGAAGATTTAGAATTACAGAACTGAAGGATGTGGATGGAGATCAGGCCAGGGGCTCTGTGCCGGGTGTTGGTCTCACTGGCAGGAGGTTGGCTTGCCACCAGAGCTGGGGAAACTGGGTGTCTGAGGATGTGTGCGCCCAGGGAGAGCACGTTTGCAAACTGGGAGAAGGTGAAACTCACATAGCCCATGCAAAAGTGTATGATTTATAATAAATAATAACCAATTGCTTTAAAGCTTAATTTTTAACAGAGATGAACTGTATCTGGGAAAGTGACATAAACATTTGTATAAGACATCTATAGGCTCAGTTTTATCATACCACAAGTTGACATGGTAGTGAAAGCATGGTAAATAAATTTAAACCCAGCAGATTCATCCAATTTGCAAAGTAAAGATCACACAACACATACATGCATGTGTTTATGTTTATATGCAAACCGTCCTTGTAAAAAAAATCCCAAACACGTATTTTATGTAGCTTTTTGTTTTGTTTTGTTTTGTTTTGTTTGTTTGTTTTTGTTTTTCTCTGGTACCAGGAACCGAACTCACGATCTTGCACTTGCCAGGCAGGCGCTTTTGCAGCTGAGCTAAATCCCCAGCCCCTTTTTATGTAGCTTTTGATGTTTTAAAAGTAAATCTGCTGCCAGTCACTTCTTAAGGCAGCACATTGGCTCAGACACTTCCTCAGGGCTCCTTTGACCTCAGTGTTCCTCAGACTGTAGATCATGGGATTCAGCATGGGGGTGAGGATGGCATAGAAGGCTGACACAACCTTATCATGGTTGGCTGACCTGTAGGATGTGGGTCTCGTGTAGGTAAAGATGGCAGAACCATAAAAGAGACCCACAACTATCACATGGGAGGAGCAGGTGGCAAAGGCCTTCTTGCGGGCCTCTGTGGAGCGCATGTGCAGGACAGCAGCCAGGATGAGGCTGTAGGAAGTCAGGATGAGGGACAAGGGGATGAGGAGCATCAGGATGCAGCAGATGTACATGACATACTCGAAGGCAGAGGTGTCAGAGCAGGCCAATCGCACCAGCGTGGGGGCCTCGCAGAAGAAGTGATCGATCTCATGGTTACCACAGAATGGAAAGCTGAGGGTAACAGCAGCCTGCATGACCCCATCAGCTGCTCCCAGGATCCAAGACCCAGAAGTCATTCTCAGACACAGCCGCCAGCTCATGAGGGTGGCGTATCGCAGCGGGTGGCACACAGCCACACAGCGGTCGTAGGACATGGCTGCCAAGAGGACGCATTCTCTACCTCCCAGAGAAAGGAAGAAGAAGATCTGAAGCCCACAGCCCACTGGCGAAATGGACTTCCTTCCAGTCAGGTAGGCAGCCGCCATCTTGGGCACAGTGGTGCAGACCGGCATCATGTCCATGAGGGAGAGCTGGTTGGGCAGGAAGTACATGGGCATGTGCGGCCGGGCGTCCTGGTGGGTCAGGAGGACCATGAGCGCATTGCCGAGGAAGGAGAACATCATTACCTCCAGGACGACCCCAAAGAGAAACTGGTGGGCTGTCGTGTGGTCAAAGAATCCTAAAAGAATGAAGTCTGAGGTGCCGTTCCCGTGCTCCATGGTTTCAAGCAGAGGTGCTGCTCTCTGTGGAAAAGAGATGAGAGGATTTTGCAATTCAGGGCTGCATGTGAAGCACATGCTTCTGGAAAATTAGTTGTGTGAGAAAATTGAAACATTTCAAATCCTTCATCTGCCATTTACTAACTGCCTTATCATGAATATTAAACTTCAAGGTTTTGTATATTTTCAAAGTTTATATAATAAATGTTTAGTACTGATTGGTTAGGGTATCAAATTCAAATTCTGATAAGGTATAGTCAACATACACATGGCATCTCCCATTATGTAAAACCCACCTAAATTGGTGAGAATAAATTGATTCAAATATTTCATCATTGATATTTTTGCTTGTGTTACTATTGTACATTGTCCATAGTAGTAATAGAAGCTGCATGAAGCCGGGATTGTTTTTCATAACAGTACAGGTATGTTCTTGACAGTGAATAATACACATCTACATGATGTGAAAATGCTTTGAACTTACCAATATCAGGTAATTTTCTCTGATGTTGATTGATCCAAGAAGGTCATTTTTCCAAACTGGAAAACTTATATTGTCAACTCTAAAAGCTAGAAATGCAATGCATTAGTCCACTTTCACATTGCAGGGATCAATACATCACACATGCAAATTACAGAGGAAATAGTTTATTTGACCCACAGATTCAGGGCTTTATTTCTTGGGCAGCTAGCATCACACATCAGTGCTGAAGTGCAGAGTGAAGAAAGGGTATTTAGCTCATTGTAGCTGGAAGTCAGAGTCCGGGAACAGCACCGGAGAGGAAGGGGTGAGGGAGGAGAGAGAAGCCCAAAGATCCAGCCTCTGACCATCCAGACACAGGCAGATCCCAAAGCCGATGGAGCTGACCATGCACCGTAGCCGTCACCGGTGGAGTAGGCTTACAGAGCACAGCATTCTTGGGAGGTTGCACTGCATTTTATTCTCCTGTACAGAGCTACACAGTTAAAATAATAATGACTTTCTTGCTGTTATCCTGCAATTAAAAATATAATGCTAAATGCACACTTTCATTACTGCCAAAAGCATTCTGGTGTTATCTTTCTTCAGTCACAACAATGCACTATTTACTAAGGAAATGATAGATCTTAGCTCTCTAGCCAATTGTAAAGCAAAACTAATTTCTTCATTCACAAGATAATCTGATTTTTTTGTTGTTTTAAGAGAAAAAACAATGAAAACAATACAGAATTTCAAAACCAGATGAGAAGAAATTAACAATGGTTATTATATTGCATATTGTTTTCTTCAAAGTAGTTGCTCAGATTGCCAGATATAGGCATGCAAAATTGATCAAACAATATAAGCACTAACTTCTCTTTTCAATGGACTAATAGAAATTGGTAGTACAATTATGCTAGCTATCTTGTGAATATAGAATTTTAAAATTTTTTTCAGGGCTGAGGATACACCTCAGCATTGTAGCGCCTGCCAGACAAGCATGAAGTCCTGCTCTGATTTCCAGTACCAGAATAATTAATTAATTAATCAAAGCACTTTAATCTGTGATCCTCTGCTGTCAGAACTGTTCTAACCTGAATAAAAACACCAGTCGTGACTGGGGAGAACATCTAGAATATGCTAACCTTTAAGATAAGATGGCAATCTTATCTTAAAAACAGGAATGTAGGTTGAAAACGACTAAGAAAGTTTTAGACACAATTTCATGCTGCAAAATACAGACTTTCTTTCCCTTTCTTCATGTCATTCAGAATGTAAGTTTTAACTGCATACACTGGTGCTTCCAAAGCTTTTTCCTACAACAGTGAGAGAACTGTAACCTCTTTGCTCTAAATGATAATCGTGTCTTTCTGCGTTGCTGTGAGAAGGCACAGATAGGTAGGTTCCTCTACTTCTTTCCATGCAAACCTTCTCAGTAATAACTACATTTCAACCACTGCCTGTGATTTTCCTTTCAACCATCTTCCAAATTCATTGCCAAAATTCGGCATTAAAACTATAAGTTTCTTAAG